GCAAAGCACATAATTTGCGGTACTGTATTTCTTCTGACTCTCCAATCCAACGTGTATTTTATGTTGCAACAGCACATATACTCCATACCTAATTGTATGAAACTGTCTTAAAAACCATGTTTCTGGATTGAAATTTCAGGAAAATGTGGACTCATCAAAAGCAGAGGCTATGGTGAAAAAACTTCAGATGGATGGACGTTACCTTAGGGATGTCTGGTGATTTTTCTGATTGTTCATATGTTAAATTCAAGATTGGCTGAAGGATATTTTTGAGATTAATCACTGCTTTTACGGAATTTTGGGACACTGACGGTGGAGGCTAAACAGGTTTCCTTGAGAAGAAATGATTTTCTGAACATTTGTCTTTTTCTTTTCTGTTATCTTTATATTCTCTTATTATGATAGGTTAGAGCCCTTCGGACTAGGATTATTTTTAGGGGACTGTATGGTAGTTAGTCTCAGAGATCGGTCAACAACACATACAGGTTACAGTGGATGGTCATGTATTATTAAGTATAGGAATTGGTAACGAATAATTATTTTATTAATGAAACTTGTGTATTTTTTAAAGTACAGTTGATGTTCAACACTGTATCTTCCTGCGTTGGAGACAAGTTTGTTTGAAGAGTAAATACATTTTTCGGTTCTCAGCAAATTTCACGATACCTGCTTTAGTCTCTAGTAAATAAAAAAGCTATTCGTGGTTCCTAAGAAATTTAAAGTGGACTCATTTTAGTCTTTTTGAGGGACTAATGTGAGTCTTTTTTGAATTTATGAGGGACTACGATTTTAACTAAATGGATCCATTTTGAATTTTTTAAGAATCACAAATAGTCTTTTTATTTGCTATGGATTAAAGCGGACACTGTAAAATTTGCTGAGGATCAAAAAGAATATTTACTCTTTAAATATTTTGAGTGTAATACCTTAAAATCTTCATCTTACAACTGTGCATGATGTTTTAAATTTTCATTTTGTATATATCCATAAAAAAGTATTTCTTTATCGTAGTAGCTTGTACGATTCACCGTGTTTCAAATTTTAGCTATAATGTGAAAAGCGGGAGCAATAAAGCAAGGGAAGCCAGAGAGACTTTTCCTTCTTAGGGCAGCGAAGTTTTCCAAATCAATAGCTACTACAACTGTGGAAGCTATGCGACTTTATCGGTGGAAACTGGAAAGACTTTGTAAAAAACTGCATGAAAAAGAAAGCTGAAATCTCAAGATCAATTAACAGGTTTTTCGAATTAAACTGAATTTCTCACAGAATTGAATTGAGTTGATTTAAATCGATTTGGTTTAAAGAACTGATTTTATTTTATTTTTATTTGAACCAGTTCAGTTAAGTACGCAATCAGTTTATTTGAATTCAAAACCGATTGAGTTTGATTAATTGAAAAACTAGTTGGCTGTGGGAGGCCAGAACGATTTTTTTATAAACAACCCAACTGCTTTCAAATCAACGGTTCTTTTATGGTACGACCGCACCTCGCCTTTTATTTGTCCTTTTCTTTTGTGGATTTTTTTTTTTTTTTTTGAATTACAATGAGAATTGAACAATATACACACTACATTACACACCCGAAAGGAGGATGAGCATTAACGGTTGTCGCTCTCTAAATTTTTATTTTTTAATTTTATATATAAAGTAATATTTATCTAATATTCAAAGATTATTAACACTAATAGTTAACCTTTCTCTAACAAATACTTATAACAATTAGTCAATTCTATTATTATTAATAACACTTATAATTTAATATTTTATCTTCGCCCCATTATAAAATTTCTGGTCCGTCACGGACGAACAAATATATAATGGTCCAGAATCATTGGTCCTCCATAAAGAGAAAGGGAAGAAGAGATGAGAGAGAGAGAGGAAGAAAGAGGAGAGAGAGGGACCAGAAAATTTATTTCCTCACGGACGCACACATCCTACACTTTTCTTGGGTTTGATCCGTTATAGGTTTTTTTTTATTTTTTATTTTAAGAAATCCGTTATAAGTGAGTGAACTCCAATATGGTCCAGATCAAATGCAATATTGTTTTTACATTTTTTTTTAGTTTCTTCAAAATATTATGAATAGCTGAAGACTAATTTTTTCGGGTTTTGCTTTTATTAACAAAATATTTTTTATAAACATGTGACCAAAAATCGAACCTACCAACTATTCCGCGATTTGTCAATATTTTTACATGTCTTCTAAATGTGAAGACTTACGCTTACAAAGAATTAATTCATGTGTTTTAATTGATTTCGTTTTGTAGTATTGTTGAATCAACGAAGAGTATTGAAGACTAATATAGATGAGAAGATTTATTTTCTACTGTATTCACAGTTTTTTTTTTTTTGGTAGCATATTTGTTTTTTTTTTTTCATTTGCCTTTGTAGGGTGCTGTTCAATGTGCTTGATAGTATTGAGCACAAGAACTTTGACTCATTTTTTGATCGTTTCTATTTGGTAAGACAATATGCATCTCATTATTGTTCCTGTTATATGGATTGCTGTATGATGAGTCTCCAATTTACTATGTGTTAAGGGTGAATATGAGCATGAAATTGATTTAAAAGTAATTAAAAGTTATGAAAATTATAATTAAATTATTATTTTATTTTCAATGATATTCTCATAAGATTTCTTTTATTTTGCAGTAAATTTCAGCTCAATAAAAAGATAAATTGGAGAGATTAGGTGGAGTTGTTTTGGATTTCTGAATCATTCAAGATCTTATCAAATCTTTGTTTGAATATTTTTAAGGAAAGTTTCCATTAAATAAAAAAAAGAATATTTGAAGGATTGTATCAAAGATATAATAGGAGATTCTAGTGAAGATTTCATTGAATATATTATGGAAAATTAAAATATATGGTTTGATTCCTATAAAAAGGCATCTCTTAGAAACACAAATTCACAATTCGACAGAAGAAGGAGGAGAACACCAGATACTAGAGTCGTAGATTTCAGAGAGAGAGAGAGAGGAGGAAACACAAATTCACAATTCGACAGAAGAAGGAAGAGAACACCAGATACTAGAGTTGGAGATTTCAGAGAGAGAGAGGAGTTTGAAGGAGACTGAACAACATTGATTCTTCTTCTTCTTTATGATTTCTTCTTCTTTTTGTTTCTTTATTTTGTTTAAGACAATTATGTCTAACTAATTTTCTTTTGTAGTTGAGATCATAAATCCAATGTGAATCCTTTATATGTTTTAAATTATTTTTATAATTGTTTTAATTTAATTAGTTTTATTCTACCTGAATGAATTTTTTTCATAACCATTTTAGAATTGATCGCTCTATTATAGGGTTTTGAAGGTTAGAACTCACAATAGAGATATTGAGGTTTTAATTCTGACAAGGGAAACTTACATAGATTGCAGAAGAATCACTAGGACACTGTGTTCTAGTTGGGTTAAAAAGTTGAATATACTAAGACATTATGGTGTAATTACTTAATAAGGAATAAATGAATTGTCTGAGTTAATCAATTAATTAATTATAAGAATTAATTTAGGATTATAAGGGAGGATCGGAGGTGAAGTACATCATGGCTCAGTTTCTTTATCTTAGTTACTCATACCTTCTTTTATATTTATCTTATTACTATTTTTATATTTAATTCAAAAATTATTGGCTCAATTAAATTGAATTATCCAAATTAGAGGGAATAGTGAGAATAATAATTGATGCATTAATCCTCGTGGGAACGATTTTTTCTCATCACTTTATTACTTGGATCGATCGGTATACTTGCCGATTTCGCAACACTCTATATGAAGATATCTTATTATTGATTGAGCGCATCCATGACTGGTAATAATTGTTTTGGATAATATTGAGCGCAATAACTTTTCCTCATTTTTCGATGATTTCTCTTTGGTAGGACAATCTGTGTATCATATTTTCATCACTTTTGATGCTGTATGCATTGTTGTAGGTGAAAATAATCAATTATAGAGTACATAATTAATTTTTATTTGCATAAAATACTGACACACGGTTCTTTCTTTTAGTGATTAACCAACGACAGACCTCAACAAAATTTTGATTTTTTTTTCTCCACGGGTATTGCACTGGTATTTTTGGATAACAAAATCAAAAAATATTGAATCAGTATAAACTGAGGCGTGAGAATTGAGATTGCATAAATATATTACCAAAAAATAATACAATTATAAAAGTAAAATAATAAAATTCTAATTAATTGCACTGGTATTTTTGTTATTTTTTTATGCTTTACGCCTTTGCTCGTTATTCCAATCCAAACAGGGTTGTCCCCAGTTTTTATTTTAAGATAAATAGAATTAATTTTACAAACTATTTTTGCTTATAATATTTTATAATATATTTTTATTATTAATTTTTATTAATCTAATAATCATAATTTATTAAGTTATATTTATTATTTAATTATAATTTCAATAAATATAATTTAATAAATTATAATTGTTGAATTGATAAAATTAATGATGAAAATATAAATTATAAAAAATTATAAATTTTTTAGATCACGGACACGATCCGACACCTTCGGACAAGCGTCCGACACGCGGTCAACTCTCTAACACGCAGTCAATATTTGGAGACACGCGGTCAACATTTGGGGACACACTCGGATACGCTCGGACACACTTTTTTTTTAAATCTTAATTTTATTTTGTTAATTAAATATAAAAGAAATAATTTATAAATTAATTTTTTTCTGTTATGAAATTTGACTTTAAAAATATGAAAAATTACTTATATTTATATTTATGTTATGAAATTTAAATATTTGATTAGTTATATGACTTATTATGGACTCTTATATGTATTAAATATATATTATATTATATATATTAAATTTTTTATTTAATATCAAAATATGTCACAACTTATTAAAATATGATATTTTTTAAAATTTGTCAGCGTGTCGTGTCGCGTGTACTATAGTTTATATATATCATGCCCCAAAAGGGGTGTGCAACTGTGCATGACGGTACTATTAAGCTATAATCAATTACTCCACAAACTCAGCTGGCAACTGGCACAATCTCAATCCTCTGTTTGATCTCCACCTTCAGTTTCATTCTCGCTCTCCCTCACTTCTTATTCACTGCACGTCACAACCTCTCTCCGATTGGCATCGTTTTTTCCTCCATCAATCTCTCTCTGATTAGGAGTTTTCTTTCTCTTTCTTCCTAGGGTTTAGGGTTCTTCTTCCTCCAATTTGCTCTTCCTTCCTCTTCAACCAAGACATGACAATGCCGGAACAGAAGAACAAGAAGGTCTCCTTCACTGAGGAAGATGCTGCTGCTCTCACGCTGAGGTCTCTCTCTTTATTATTATTATTATTTTCTTCCTAATTTTGTGTTGTAGTATGAGCTGTGTGTGCCTTGGGGGTTTTAAGGTGATTTTTTTTTTTTTTTTTTTTGAGTTGTGTAGGTATGACGAAACCACAGTGTTAACGTTGCTTCAGGAAGTGGCGAATTATCCTTATTCGAAGATTGATTGGAATGATTTGGTCAAGAAAACCTCGACTGGGATTTCTAATGCCAGGGAGTATCAGATGCTGTGGCGTCACTTGGCTTACCATGATGCCTTGGAGGAAAATTTCGAAGACGGGGCTGAACCTCTGGTCTGCATCACACTCCTTACTTCTGAACTCTGCTAATTATGCTGATATATTTAAGTAAAACATTGCCGATTCGGAGTTATTATTTCTTCTACTGTTTGATCAGCGGACAATGATCACCATATTATTATGAGATATTGCAATAATTAAATCTGAAATAAGTTTTCCAGGTGTATATGTATGTTCACGCAATGTTTATCCGTGACCATGCTATTTTATGCATTTAGTTATGTACTTATGCTGAATTTACTGTTCATTTCATTTGAATAGTTTAAGAAGTTTTTTTTGTTTGCCAAGCACGATGTGTTACACCAACATCCAAATACTTATGAAGCTTTAATGGTTACTTTAGCAACCTAAAAATTCTATTAGGTGCTAAATAATGAAGAATTAAGTGTGATAACTTTTTTAATATGCGATATCATTCAATTTTACATGCTTTTGAAGTCTAAAATGCAATCAGGTTTTAGTTAATATTAAAAGACATTATCTCAAGGCATCGTACTGGCTGAAATTTTAATGCATAAAAATTACTTTTGATACTTTTTTGGTTCAAAATTTGTGTTAAATGTATTTATTAACGATCAAGCGGTAACTCAACCAGTGATTATAGTTGAGTATGTCAGCAACATGGATAAAATTAGAGAGCGTAGGGTTAGGGCAATATTTGTACGCAGTCTTATCCTAAAATCAGCAACATGGATATTTGCAAAGAGACTATTTTCCGGATTCGAACTCGTAACTTTTCAATTACAAAGGAGCAGTTTTACTACTTCTAGGCTCGGCCTCTTAACATGGATATTCACCGTGGCAGAAAATAATAAACTTGTCAATTATCTGTATATTATTTTAGGCATGGCCACTGGTTACCTGTATTGCCATCTTTACTCTTCAAATTGCTATTCTCAGATTAGTTTTGCAAAATCTGATGTGCTGTCGTTTTTTCATTGAAACTTGTTCTTAGATTCCTTGATTAGGGTTGTAATTTTTTGTATTCAGACTTATTTGGAGTCTTACTTGCAGGATGATGATAGTGACCTAGACTGTGAAATGGAAGCATTACCCCCTGTAAGTGTGGAATCTGCATCGGAGGCTTCAGCATGTGTGAAGGTGATAATACTTGCCCCAAATTATTACATTCTATCTGAATATGTTAGGCCTTGGGTTCATGCCTTAGCTAGTTACATCTTACTTATTTGATGATATATGATTAGACTTATATTCAAATGAAATAGTATTACGGGCACATTTTCCAATTTTTTATTTATTTATAGCAAACATTCTAATAGAACTACACATTTAATTTTGCAAATTACTTTCTGATTGTGGGAAGCTTTATAATTATAGTAACAAATACGACTCTATCAGATTAATATTCAACTGCGAGATGGCTGACCTTTGCCAGACAACTATAGGACTAGAAATGCTGTATGGTAGTGAATGCTAGGCAGTAAAGTGCCAGCAAGAGGGGGGAAAATAAGTGTAGTGAAGATGAGAATGCTGAGGAGGTGACATGAAAAAGATGAGATTAGGAATGAATGTACATGAGAGAAACTTGATGTAGAGCTATAAAGGAGAAAATAACAAGATGACAGAAAGTTACCTAAGGTGGTTTGTGGTCACATGAGAAGACCAGTAGAGGTTCCATTGAGAAAAGTGGATCTAGTGAAAGATAGTTTGATTAAAATGGGTAGAGGAAGACTTGACAAAGTATTAGAAGAAACCGATAAAAAATATTTTGCTTTAAATGGTTTTACTGAAATTTTGGTTTTTGATAGAGCCCAATGATGTTAATTTATCCAAATATATTACCCCCATATTGTGTAGAATAACTGAATTCTCTTTACAGTTTCAATGTTTAAAAGTGTTTTTGGGAAATTTTTTTCCATCAGGTAATGATTGCTTCTCGTACGCTAAGTGAATCTACCCCTAGTAGCTCAACAATTGAGGCTCCATTGACTATAAATGTTCCAGTTTGCCATTCATCTAGGACTCCTAACGAAAGTTCACAGCCCAATAATTTGATGCAAGGTTCAAACATTATTTTCCCCGTTACTGTTCAGAGGCAGACACTGCCAACTGCATCATCAACAGACGGTATAGAAACCAAGGGATCAGTTGGTGGCAACATGGCTTCAAAAAGAAAAAGAAAAGCATGGTCAGAGGAAGAGGACATGCAGCTACGAGCTGCTGTTCAGAAATGGGGTGAAGGGAATTGGGCAACCATGGCAAAAGGAGACAACTTTCCTATTAAGAGAAGTCCTACACAGTTGGCTCAGGTGGTTTTCCTAAAAAAATTTGAATTATGTGACCATTATCCACTCTTATCATTAATATGCATGTGAATATTTCATTGATGGTCCATGTAAGGCAACATGTTCATCATTAACCCTTTTGATTAGTAGTTAGAAGTATTTGCAAATGACGTCCATCAGGGTGGCGAAGAATAGTGTAAGAACAGTGTTAGAGACGAGAAGATAATAAGGGGTTAAATTCTTCAAAGTTATGTTCTTTATTTTAAAATCAGTTACATTTCCCCCCTTTAATATCACTTTCTGTAATGTGTTTGTGTTAGCACACTTGGTGGTCTAGCCTAGAACAGTACCTTTTGGCAATTGTAATTGATGAAGTATGAAGATCCTGGGATCCTGCGTCATATAATCTATCAAGTTTAGTTTGTCTTGGACCTTGCATATCACCAATATCTATTATATGTACTTCAATGCATTATATTTGGATATCAGTCTGGTTTTCCCTAAAATTCAAAACTAAGTTGAAATTATTGTATGATCCCTGAGGTTTTAGTCTTGTGCTTGTTCCTTGTAGTGAGTTAATTGAAAACCTCATTCTCTTTTAAGTGGATACTTTTAAAGCAATCAATTTGTTAACCATGAATGTTTATGAAAATTCATTCTGGTTTATGTTATCACACTGATTATTTCAATAATAATGGTAGGCATTGTTTGAAGTAAAATATTGCTAGGAGGTCATAATCCTTGGTATCCTATAGATAGATTAACCACTTGACTTAGATGCAAATAAATTATCTTTGTTTAGCTGAAATCTTATTCCCTCATCAAACGTAGGAGATCTATATCAGCCAGCTCTATTGTTGGGAGATGGTACTTTAGCTTGTTTGTGCAGCTATTAGAGTTGGGTCAGTTCAAAACTGACCATTTTTGGTGTAATTGTACATTATGTATTAAGCGTGTCATCCATTCCCTCCTCTATTCTAAAAGGATGAAAGGAAAATTGTCAGTGGAAAGAGTATGTATTTTTGCATGACACATGATGCTTGTCTTTCTGTGGATGTTATGTTTGATTGGAATTTGGTGACTGATGGCATTGAAATATATTTTAATCCGTTGTCATCTAGTCAGGTCAGGATGTCTGGGTATCACCCAGTTTTCCCGGGTTCAAATCCCGGCAACGGAGTTTTACATGTCCAACTCTTCAAATAACTTCTCATATGGAAAGTCTTTATGTGATGCTTAGATCTTAGTAAAATGAATCTGTATTAAGTGTTTTGTGAATATTAATGTGATTTAATAATTGTTCCATTTTACCTGTATTGTTATTTACTTTTTGTGCTACATATTGTTATGGGTTGTCAAAATACTTCCAGAGGTGGAGCATTTTACGTAAGAAAGATGGCAGTGCCAATTCAGGAACCATCTTGACCAGCACACAATATACTACTGCTGAACAACTGGCAACTCGTCATTCTTTATCCTTAGCCCTTGATATGCCATTCAAAAAGTTAACTGCTCCTGGAATGACTGATCCTGGTAATTTGTCTTTTGACTCTTTCATGGTTTATTTTAATTTAGTTTCATGCTAATCAAATACCTGAATTTGCTATTTTTGTGTGTTGATATTTTTTCCTTTTTTTTTGTGTTTTCTGAGTCCCTAACTATCAACTGAGTCTCATGTTCAATGATTCTCAACATTACTTTAAGTGGCTCTGGTTAACGGATTAGCTTAGTGGCTTTCCTAATTTTTCAAGACTACCAGATAGTATTGCTTTTTTCACTTCATGTGTGTCTTCTGGCTGCATATTATTAATGTATCATAGTGGCTTTTCTAATCTCGCTTCGTAAATGAGGGCGAGCTTGAGCAATAGTAATGTTGTTTTTTTGTGATTGAAAGGTCACAGGTTTGAATGTAAAAAATAGTCTATTTGCCAAATGCAATGGTAAGACTGCGTATTATTGACTTTCACCTTTATCCTCGCAGGGTCACGGAGCCTTGAGCTTTGGGCTTTTTTTTTCCTTTTATATTATATGATCCATGTTCATGAAAAGAGACATTGCTGCATAAAAGAAGACAAAAAATAGGAAAAATGAAAGATATAACAAGAACACCAGTTAGGAACAGGAAATTGTCTTGGCGAAAAATCACTCATAAAGTCAAATGAAGAACATTGTCCTGAACACAAAATAGAGCTCTTTGGAAAAGTTTTTGTTTATTTATTTATTTGTTTTGAACTTTTTATGGCTTTTAAAATGTGACTAGCATAATGAAATTTTTGTTTTTTTTTTTTAATTTTGTTAATTCTTAGTTAAAGAATTATTTATTTAATTATGCTTCAAAAGTATAGGATGGTGGCAATATTGATACATGAATCTTCTTGAGAATGTGCTGTTTATAACTCAAGACATTTGAATAATTTATGGTTTACATAGTTGCAGCTAGGACATCCACATCAATTAAAAATCAAGTGCAAACTTGCAATGCCACAGAAGGTTCAACGGTTCACAACAGCTTTGTACCACCATCTCAGCATCCATCTCAACAAGCTTTGCTGGGATCTTGTGGTTCCTCTGCAAAACCTAAATTAGTCTCTGGAAAATCAATCCCAAAGTGTAATCCAATGCCAAATACTTCTGTAAAATCTACCACAGTTGTTTCCCCATTAAATACTGGATCACAACATAAGGTTGCTCAAGCAAGAAATGTTATAGTTACAGGCAACTCTTTGACAAAGACATCCGTGTCTGGTGGCTTGCCTAACAACCCAAAGGTTCAATCAAATGTACCTTATGTTTGCACCAGTTCAACTGCTGCTTCTGCCCTTGCTGTCATATCTCCTGGATCATGCTCTAGTACAGTAAAAGGCGCCTCATATAAGGTGGAGAATTCAGCTACAACTTTGTCTCGACATGACAAATCAGTTACCTCTGTGGTTGAAGAAGTTCCATTGAAACAAGTTAATCCCACAGAAAAATTTAAAGCTTTTAATACTATTCCTACACCAAAAGAGATGGTGCAAGAAGATGAGAATTCTACATTTACTGCTGAGAATCGTGTCATGGCAATAGATACCAAACTGGATAAGGGGAGTATAGATTTTGATAAAGTTAAGAGCGTGTCTCTTGTGAAAATTACAAGTGAGGATATTTCCGAAGATAAAGCAGTTCCACAAAATCTAGGGAAATGTGAAGAGACAGGAGCGGTTAAGAATTCAAATTTTACATTCAGTATGGAAATTAATGAGAATAACAACCTGGACAAGGGGAATCAAGATTTAGACCATGATAAGAGGACAAATTCAATTAATGGAAGTTCTGACAATCAGAACATGAACGTGAACCAGGTAAATTTGGCAAGTGTGGTATTAGATGAATGCAGTCAAGGTCTGGAATTGTCAAGTTAGTAACAACTGGTTGTGATGTTGACTAATATATGTAAATGAATAGTTTTTTTTTTTTTTTTTAATTCCAAAAGAAACTTGCGGTGGAATTATAAGTATTTTTAAGAATTTGTGGAACATTGATACGTTATAGTATTTTTTTTTTTAAAAAATCTTGCTTAGCAATTAATATATTTTGATGTCTTACAAGTTTTTACTAGATGAGTTGTAGAATGATTTTTACAAAATGTCTTTTTCCCAGATTTAAAATTTAATTTTTCAATAATTGCCTTCCCCAATAAATTTTGTTATTTATTTTATTTTATTTTTTTCCCAGATATAACAACAATCGCTTTTTCATTTTAAATTTTCTAGACATAGTTGGATTTAATTTCTTAGACATATGTAATGAAATTTTTTGACATGAATTTACCCTGCCTAAACCTGATAAGGATTAGGGGTGTCATGTGGGAGGAATTTTTTTCTCTTTTTTTTTTTCTTTACTCTCTTCTCTCTCCTCTGTCACATCGAGTATTCTGTTTGGTTGAAATTTTTGCTGGAGATGTCCGTCCATCTGAGTTTGGGAATTGATGTTGTCTTTGTTTGATAGAGGATTTATAAAAACTTGCCCACTAATCTCTTTTGCCCAGCAATTGAGAATCAAGTGCAAAAATGCACTGTTGAGGTTTATCAACTTGAACGTAGTATTTGCGTATATATAACTGGGTAAGTGAGAAAAAGTTGACAAATATTATGATAATACTACTTTTTTCTAACCTAATTTTTCCAGTAAAATTTTTGTTAATCAAATAACTTTTTTTTAACTCTTTTATTAAATTCATTTTTCTACCATATTCCTATAATTACATTTACCTAGTAAAAAAAATATCTCCTCTATCAAGCACCTCCCAAACAAATTCTCAACTGCTGGGTTTATACTTATCTCGTACATTCATGAGTCATGTATGTATCATGTGTTTTGTATGCACGATCACAATTCATCCATGATAATCTCATGCATGCAATCATGTATGAGTCATGTACTTCTATATGTACAATCCTAATGAAACTGACATTGATCAGTAATATATACGAAAACTTATATTTATAAATTTTTTATAAGAAAGGATATTGTGACAACCAAGTTGTATTACTACCAAGTGACTACCAATCAATTTCACCGTTATTGATCTAACGGTTATATTTATTCAAAATACTCTTTATTAATTTTCCTAAGGGAAATGATATTGTGACAACCAAATTGTGTTACTACCAAGTGACTACCAATCAATCTCACCGTTAGATCGATTATGTTGATTCAACGGTTATATTTATTTCCATCTTTGCATGGTCATGATTCCCCATATTTAAAGTGAAAGCATTAAATATGAGAAATCATAACTATGCAAAGGTGAAAATAAATATAAAGTATTAAATTTGGGGAATCATGACCATACAAAGATGGAAATAAATATAACCGTTGGATCAACATAATCGATCTAACGATAAGATTGATTGGTAGTCACTTGGTAATAACACAACTTGGTTGTCACAATATCCTTTCCCTTTTCCGGGACAGGTTATATTTACTAACTTTTTTGTTTACAAACTACACTATGTAGGATCGGTCATACATTAATCACACAGTGTACGACCGGTACTACATTAGTGTAATTGCAAAAAAAATTTGTAAACGGATCATGTTCTTATATATATATATATATATATATATATATATATATATATTATGGTAAGAGAGGAGTTAAAACTTAAAAGTTTATACCACCGATACAAAAATCCGAATAACACACGTCAGTTCACTGAAAATTGTTTCAGTTGAAAAATAAATTACTACGCTTATTTTTGGTATAATTAAAACAAAAGATAGTATTTAAAATATATTTTTTTATATCTCTGTTTTGTTGTTTTTTTTCACTTTAATGAAGTACGACTGAAGCAGCACGATTTCACCTAAAACCGACCAATCATGATGCTAAATTAGATGTAAAATAGTTATTTTACTAGTTTTAGAATTGTTTTCTTTTATGATTTCTGAATTGGAAACATGCCGTCGAGAGTGCTAAACGAATCAGAGATTTCCAAGGGTCTTTCATCCGACTAGTGAAGGCTTGAGTTTACATGTTTAAAATTGATTATTGGAATTAGACTTGAACTTGTATAAAAGCTCGTTTAATAAAAAGACATCAGACTCTAATTTAAAAGTTCGGTCTTAGAGCCTTTCAGACTGACCTAGTATACTAACTTTTATTTTATATTTTTTATACTATAGCCTTCTCTCTCTTCAACTTATTTCACCCAATTTTATTTGTTAAACAAACTTCTTAAATGATTTTGTTCTATATTATACTGTTTTGACATACATTGAATTTATGAATCTTTGTGGAATTATTAGTCTTATTGATCATATATTCTGTGTGGATAAATTTTTGTTATCTTATTTTTTTTTTTTTTAACAAACTAAACCAGACTTTTATTTTTTGTAAATAAGTCAGGCCACAAGCCGATAATGATATTCATAACAAGTAACAAGCTAGGTCAGTCTGACACATTTAAACACAGACTTAACCTTTTAAGATCAAAGTCCGATTCAGCTCGGCCTGTTGACACCCCTAGTGGCAATGATCAGTTCAAGAGAAGTTGGTCTAGACAGTGGTTGAAGGGTAATTGTGAGTATGCAATGATATCAACGGGATGATGATATTAATGTTGGAGAAGTCTATTTGTCTGGAACAAAGGAGGTGGGTATTTGCAAAACATTTCGACACTCAAATTAGTATTTGAATGATGAGTTTCAGTAAATTGAAAGAATATGATTATACTTGGATTTTGAGCCTTCCTTTTATAGTAGTAGCATGCATTTTTATTGATGGATTAAGGTGACATGATTATACTTGGATTTTGAGCCTTCCTTTTATAGTAGTAGCATGCATTTTTATTCATGGATTAAGGTGGCTTCGCTACCTATCTTGTGAGAGTCATGCCTTTGGTGAGCTATGATACATAGGCTTAACTAGAATCTAATGTCTGTTCTCTAACCATTGGCTATTAAGGAGGCACGTGAGTCCTGAGCTCTTGTCAACCCAAATGTGCATACATATGATCATGTGTATACGTGATATACGTGTTTCCTTACCAAGTATTTGACTTTGGGTAATTTGGACTATTATTGAACTGGATCATTAATCTTTTTTTTTTTGAAAATATTCCAATCGGTTCATTGCTTCACAACTAATCCGATTCGGGGCGGGTCCAGGATTAAGGCTTTAAACCCCTCCCAAAGGTGCTACTGGGGAGATTCGAACACATGCTCTCACCTCTACCTGCTTAGCTCCCATGCTGGACCATTAATCTTGTTTAGTTATGAGGCCAAATTATCAATTTGGACTATTATTGGACTGGACCATTAATCTCATTTAGTTATGAGGCCAAATTAGATTATTTTGAAGATGATTTTCTTTTTTTCTTTCTAACTATGATTTTGCTAGAGCGGAGATGAAATTGAGCGAGTTGTGGAACTTTCTTCTAGAATCTTCCAATTACTAAAATATCAAGAGATTTACAAAGCTTACAACATTACGGAAAATATTTTAAGTGTTCTTATTGCACCCACTATTCTATAAGGTGTTCATCAATCGATCCAAATTGATTCAAACCGCAGTAACCGAACCAAAAAATCGATAATCGAATTAACCGAGAAAAAAACCCCGCATATTTTAATTGGATTGTTGGATCGATTTTCGGTTTGGTTGGTGAAAACCGATCCAATCCAAACCGATCCAATGTATTATGTATTTTTTATTTTGAAATTCCACTAATGACCTTTCCCTTAATTCAATAACCCTTATTCAGTTACTCCCTTAGTTTCAAAACCTAGAAAAGACTATTCAATGAATTAAAAGAAATATATCCAATAAAAATAAAAAAAACAAAAACTAAAATAATTTTATCTGATGGTCCAAAATTCCACGTTACACGCCAAACACATTATTCTACTTGTATAATTTTTTAATTTTATATCATCTTTTTATTTTTCTAATTATTAAGTTACTAACAATATTTTCTTATAATTATTTTAGATATCTTCAAATATAGAAGTTGATGATGATGATGATTCTGATTAAAAGTTGATGATATAAGTTGTTATTTTTAATTTAATTTTTCATGTATTTATTTTAAATTTTTTATTGCTTGAACCCTCTCTTAATCTCTTATTTTTATGAAAGTTATTGTCTTGCTGGTTGTTTTGAAAACTACAGATGAACATTAAGCAAATTGAAAGAGTGAAGTATGGAAGAGAAACATGGTGACTTTGAATCTTTTTATTTACTAGACTTGGAATCTTGGATGTAATTGATAGCAAACTACCTTATTTTAGTTTTGTTGTTGTCTATTACTCTATTATAAATCTTCATGAGTTTTAAGACTTGTTTTAGTTTGAAAAGTTAAATTTTCTAGTGATTTGTAACTTTGTATGGCTTCATTTTGATATAGTTAGTGATTTGTATGGCTGAAATTTAAGGCTTTTCAAAAAACCGAAAATCGATCCAAACCGAATAAAATTGGATTGGATTTGAAAAAAAATTTAAACTGAATGGATGATTAAATTGTCAAACCGAAGGGAATAGATCAAATGATCTTTGCTTCAAAATCGATCCAATCCATATCGCGAATACCCTTCCTACTCCATACATCCATCCAATAAAAACAAGACATAATTAAGAACCTATCATAACAGTATTGAGGAAAGAGAAAAAAAAATATTTGCCGTCAATAATTTATCCATAATACAAATGTCTCATTTTAAATGGCAGGTGTATCCATTATTGAATGCGACCCAACACTAAATTTACTCTCCCAACATTATCTACGTATAGTTGCTTTACTTTTTCAATGGAGGCTGAAGATATAATTGTGTTGGAAGAATACGGGAGTTAAACGCACTGAGTGCCAGAGATCAGTGTTTTAAAATCCTACTCTGTCTTCTGGGTTGACCCGGGTCAACCCTGACTCCTCCTCTCTGAGGGTTGGAGTCACAAGTTGGATCCTATATGCATATCGACTCCTTCGACCCCCAAAACTCAGTCAGATTTCAACGACTCCTGGGTCAGAGGGGTCAAAGGGGGTCACTGCTTGTTTTCTTTTTGTAAAAAAAATTCCATGAAACATCATTGTTTTATTAAAAAATAAAATAAAAATGCTTGCAAACCTAACTCTAATCGTTCTCTTCTCTCCCAACGACCTAGACGTCTTTAATCTTCACTTTGTTGCCGTGAATATTCTAGAAAAGGTAAGCATTTTACCCATTCAAATGAAATCCTTACGGTCGTCGATGGAAAACAAAAACTCATCTTACTTCCTTTAAATTTTCCTTTGTGAGGAACCTTATCAAAAGAGGTAGAACCGGGTCAGCGTAGTGACCTCATTAGAATATGAGTTTTGTACTTTGGTTTCTTGATACTTTAATTAGGTTGTGTAATATTGACTTGTGGTTGTAATTGGTGAATTATGTTAAGTATATTTTGAATTTTTGAGATTAATGGTTTGTTTTTTAATATTTTCATATAAGATATATATATTTATATTTTTTAAAAATATAAAATCGGGTCAGCGTAGTGATCCCATGACCCCCCGGTTGAACCAGTGACCCCATGACTCCTGACCTCGGCTGGGTCGATGGCTGGGCCGAGTTTTTAAACACTGCTAGAGACAGTGGTGGAGCCTGGGAGAAGATCCAGCCAGTGCCAAAAGATTCAATTAGTAAAATTTAGTTAGTACCAATGTTGTATTATTTTTAAAAACCTAGCCATTATTAAGGCTATACCATAATTTTATTTAAAATATGTAGCATTTTTGAAAATTAGTCGGTGCCAAGGCACCACCTAAGAGCCAAGTGGCTCCGCCGCTGGCTAGAGATGTTTTTCTACGGAAGTGGATCCTTTAATGTGGGGGAATCATTATTATACAAAGTTGGATTAATGGTGATAAGAAAAAAAAGAGAGAAAAATATTGGTATAAGTAGTTACAAAATCATTACCGTTAATTCACCTTTTATATTTATGATTCCCTTCTGATACATAATCATAACAGATAAGAGAATTCATTTTCGAATAATTTACATGCAGTCTTCTAAAGATATTCTGTTCAAGTTTAATCAGCACATACTTCAAAATTTCTACTACACCCGATATTGATTATGTACGTGACTGATTTTATTTTTATTTTTAAAAAAATGCCAATATAAGTAAAAATTATAAAAAATAATAGTTTTTTTTTTATTGTGTCTCAATCAATTCACATGATCAATAATATGTGACTCAATCACTACTTATATTACTTTGATCTTATACTCGAATTTCTAACTTAATAAAAAAAAATTGGTATAATTAGTTAAACAATAATACTAAAATCAAATGTTAATTTACATTAAATTGAAATACTGTAATTATTTTTTTTATTTATCATTACAAAATTTCTGAACTTATTTATCTTTACATGATGAGTTGGAGTGTGTGTAAAGGTTTAAGTTTGATTTTAATTCATCCAGTTGTTAATAAATTTAGCAGTAAATAAATTATGAGGAAGATTACCAAAAAAAATAAAAAATTATGAGGAGCTAACTTGGTTTACAGTCCATGGAGGATTATGATGTCCATTTATTTGGAGCTGCTTTGCTTTCTTTCAACTTTCGATATCTAGATTCTGTATTTGTGTTAAGAGAACGGAGTATAGTCCTTTGCAAGTAAATTAGAATGGCATGAAGTGAAAAAAATAAAATACCACTCTATTATTTTGTAGGTTTTGGAGCAGTCTCACTTTTTATTATTTGAAAGTTAATTAATAGAGTGATTCAAGAATAGTTTAACACTTTAACAAATATCATAGCTTAGAATTTAAATTAATTTAACAACGGTAGTTTATTATTTAAAAAAAAAAATCAGGTATAGAATAATTCGTTCCTTCATTTTGTTGGTTATAACTTATGCAAGCTAAGTGTGAAAATCAGGTAAAATATGTAATATAGAGTTCTTACGACACAAGATATGATGGGTTCCACCTTTCATTAAAAAAAGAAAAATTATTGCACACATTTCGATATATCACTAGTACGAGAAAGAATTCTATAACACGAGAATTCTTTTCTCCATATATTTAATCCCAACAATTTTGCCAATAATTCTAGTATGTCTATTCTTGTTGACTGATTATTGGGCAAGAGGGATTTGAACCTTTTTCTAAACACTTTTAAACCAGATTCTCGCATTCCAAAGTGTTTTATTAAACTTTGAATTTTGTTGTTGACTTAAGTCGCGTAGTAATATCAAACCTCTTGGTAAAAAAATAAAATAATCATTTTAATAAATAATTTACATTATATGCTAGATTATAAAATAGGGGCCTTCTCTTAGGTAGCTCCTAGAGGGTGTTTTAACTTCATGTTCAGGCGAGACTGTTTTGAGTTTGATTGAAAAAAATAACTAATTATTTAAGACAAAATTAATAAGAAATCTTAGTTTTACCAATTTAATTTTGCTACAGAGGGCCTATCTACTTAAAAAGAAAATGTAAGGACCATTTTTCTAAGCAAAATAAATAAATAGATAGAGCAACCTAACTTAGATCATAATGAAGTGATTATACATTTTTATATACAGTTATTGCATGCTCATTTGATGGATTAGTTGAAATCAAGAGAGAATCTTTTGCTTTCTGGGTAAATATATACACACATGCACATGCTGACATGCAATACAATAGGAAAGATTTGTATCTGAAAATAGTTCTAAGATTTCAAACAAAACTAATCTTAAAAGAAAAAACACCAAAATCATGATCAGACTACAGAATGTAGAGTTGCCCAAGTACACAAAAAAGATGAAAGTTGGTCTACATATTGGAGCATTATTATTCGCTGCTAGATCACTGTATTGTTTGCCGATTGCCTTTGCCTCTTTAACTTGATTCCAAACAGAAAAGACCTCAAGGGTATTCTAGCACGACTTGTGGAGTGTTTCATATGGTCATGAACATGCCCGTGATTGTTAATTCCGAGTGTTTGACTCAGTTCTTCTAGCATCTTCTCAACTTCATTTTTCAGTCCCTTCACAAAACTTAGACCAGCTTGCAGTTCACTACAAACCTTGTTATTCTCCTGTTTCATGTTTAGAACCTCACCTTGAAACTTTGCAGCCTGATACCCACCTAGTTCTTCTCTTTTTGATGCGGAATCTGGATTTGCAGCTCCTGCTATTTCATCTTGCAAGCTGCATAATGATGGATGTCTACCTTGTAACTCTTCCTGCAATATTGCATTATGTTCAAGCCACAGTGATAATTCAGTTCTTATCTCTCTTAGGTGTGTATATATTGGTTTTATTTCAGATTGAATAGCATTTGAGTTCCCTTCGGACATGTTGTTATCCTTTATTTTCCGTAGCTCTGATTTTAAGTCATGTATAGAATTTTGAAACTTTTGAATCTGATGAATTGAGGTGCTAAACCTCAACCAGAACTCTAAGTTCTCCTCCAGCAAATCATCAATGTCTGATCGGAATCTCTTTTCTAAGGGTGAAAGGGATTGCTGCTTATCAACCTGGTTTGCTTTCATCTTCACTAATATCACGTTTGCAGGTGATATACCAATATTTCCTGTGTTTTCAACATTGTGGTGTTGCTCTCCAAAAGAAGTACTCACTACACTTGCATCTATATTTGAAGATTGAATTTCATGGTCCTGCATGTTATTATCTCCTTGAGCTGCGTTTTGAAGAAGCGCTTCTTGCGGTGTATATTTATATTCTGTGATAGTGGTGCGAGGACTTTCATCTGGATTTGTTTCCGAACAGGTTAGCTTCTGTTGTAAAGTGTTTATCTCTTTATCCTTAGTGGCAACAGTGTCCTTCAATTCCCTTACCTGCAGGAGCATATATACAGTAATATATTATCAGCAGTGGGAGGTAATATATCACTAGATTTTTGTCGTGGAATTACATTATAAGTAATTATATATCTATATAATGATTATGCGGCGTGATATTCTTACACCGGGTGGTGTAAAAGTTAGAAGTCAACTATTGATCCACTTTTATTTAATGACTCGCATTATTAAAAAATTTGAGTTGTTAAATATAAGTGGGATCAGCGGACAAGATTGAGAGTGTAACTTACACTGGTGTAAAATAATCCTGACCCAATGATTATATATGTATGTATATATCAAATTTGTAAAAATAATTGTTCTTTTAGTTTGACTTTACATAATTAACAACGAAGTTCATTATAAAATTCAAATATTTATCCAATTATTTATAAATTCTATTGGCCCAAAAAATAAAATTTATACATTGACTAGTGTATACCTGAAGTGCCAGCTCAAAAATGCTGTCCCGGTTTTTCTTCTCAACATCATTGAGCTTGACCTTCACATCCTTATAGTCCTTTAAAACTGATGTGTACTCCCCCAACAAAATCTTTTCTCTGTCATCTAATCCATTCACAAACGTCTGTCTCAAGTTAGGTTGGTCTTCTTCCTCGCCAGTCTCCATAGCAAGTGATTCAATGTCAAGATTGCTCACTGTCTCATTCAAATCATCCTTATCCTGCTGTATTGGCTCTGGAATCATCCCTTCAGTCCTAAAATTATTATTTTCCTTCAAATTGGAATTGTCATTCTCATTTATGACATCATTGAAATTTGCAGCATATTCTTCCTTCTCCTCCTTTGTTGTCATAACATCCTTCATGATTGCTAAGTTATCAGTAGACAATTTATCACTTGGTTTTCCAGACTCCTCTCTTAGTTTTCCATTTAGGGCACTTTTCTTCATGTATAGTACCAAGTTCTCCCCCTCTTCATCTAGCTTCACATTATTCAATCTTCCTGAAAGGTGCTCAAGATTACAACTAGCTTCAGTGAACTGTGTTTGGAGGCTGTTGTCTTGCCTTTTGACACTTAGGTTGAGAATTTTAACTCTCCTCAATTCCTCCCCCAATTCTTTCATCTTCTTGTTGGCTTTTTCTGAATCTTCTATCAACATTTCCTTCTCCTCTTCCAAGCTTTGTATATTTGTCTGAAGTTCATCTGTTTCTGATCTCAATCTCTTTACCAAGGCATTCTGAGAAGAAACCACGGTTTCAAGGGTAACAGCCTTACTTACAAGTTCATCAATCCTCTCTGCCATTTCTGTCATAGTGAGGGAGTTACCTGAATCTTCCTCAAGCTTTTCCTTAATCCTCTCCCGCAAAAGCCCCACATCATGCATATCTTCTTCCAAGCTAACTATCTCTTCCTCTATTGTTTTTGGTTCTATTGCTTGGTCTTGTTCACTCGTATGTTTACAAATGAATTGGTCTCTAAGGGCTTCAAACTTGTCATGAGCTTCCTTAACCCTTTCATATGCTTCTTTAGCTTCTTCTGAAGATAGTGCATGTACCTCTAGCAACTTAGCCAGGGTCTCTTTGCATGAATTTAGAGCTGTAGCAGCCATTAAAGCTCGAGCATCATTATCTTCTATGACTGTACTAATGCCAAACTCATCTTGCAAGCTGCAAACTCTTTTCTGCATTCCTGTAATCTGGTCTTCAATTTCCCAGTACTTTTCATAGGAACGTTCATACAAGCTCCTTACAAACTCTTTCTCAGTCTGTAGTGCCAAAATTTCTTTCTGTAGCTTGTCTATTTGTGCTAGTGCTTCAGCCTTACTAAGCCCTGAACTTGTTGTTGTTTGAATGGAATTTTTAGAGTTGGCTATCCTCCTAAGTGGTCCCTTTCTGGAGAGTAACATGGATGGGCTTCTAAAATGCTTCTTTGGGATTTTTGGAACTTCAGGAATACCTGATTTTTGTGTTTGATTGTTGGGTTTAGGAGATGATGAATTTGAACCTGGAAGACTATCTTCATAATCATCTTCATCCATTCTATATTGAACTTGTTCTGGGAAGACAGTGGCAATGGTACGGTTTGCACTTTGGAGCTCTTTTGATAGATGATCATATCTCTCTGCTAATGCTCTATATGCTCGAAAAGCTTCTTCTACAAAATTTACCAGTTCTGGCCTCTTCCTGTAGTACATTTCTGCTCTCTGAGCAAATGAATCCCCATTATCATCAATGATTTTGAGGGTGTCAGCCACCTTCTCCTCCATATCTGTTAAATTTTTGTTTGCATGTAAATGACAATGAGTTTTCTTCCAATGCAAATGTTTGATTATTCAGCTGGGAACTTTAGCTATAAGAAAAGTGGGTGGGAAGGAGTTGTGAACCAAATGAAACCGATGGAACTATAGTAATGTATGTATTTCTGCTTGTTATTCTTCATGACACCAATGTATGTATGATTTTCAGGTCGTTGTGATACGTTATCTATTTTCCTACATTCCAATCGTTTGCTTTACCTCTCTAAAATCCAATGAACTCTAAACTATATTTTGTTATGCATGTAAATATATCATATACTGTTCAGATAATGGTGAATAAATAATAATAATAATAAAATCAGGCAAGTATTATGTATATAGAAGGAAATGCATCATGTTTAAACATGTAGGCTGCATGCCTTCTATCTTTGATTAAAAAATGGCCAAAAAAGTGTGTTTTGATGGAATTAATGATAGTGGGAAAGCAACCAGATTGGTCGTTGAGGGAAAAATATCAACCTATATACTAAGAGACATACCTTGGAGGCTTTGTTCCAGCCATTTGGATTGCTTTGTTCTGATGTGGCTTGCCCACCACCATGAATATGCATTGGTTGCTGCCCTTTGCAACATTTTTATCTTGTGTTACAATCAAGCACATTCAACCCATTGAGGCAAAAACTTTACAAGGTGAGACAGAGAGAAACAAAAGCACACAAAATGTAAGAGAAAAGCTAAAATTTTAATGATCTTGGTAGTTAAAAAAAATTTGGTCAAAAGAGAAACAAATGTTGGCGAAAATGCCTTCTTATAGTTATGGAGCAGACATGAAGAGGAGGAAATTTCGCCACAAACATAGGTGTGTAATGTCTTGGATCCTTTGAAGAGCAAACTTTTTGGAGGGCTTTGCTAGAAAACTATCCCCACTTAACGGGCTTTGTTATACAGCCTTCCAAAATTTATATTTATTGCCTGTTTGAATTAGATTAATCATTAATCTATAGGGAAAATTGTTTTTAAAAAATAATAAAAATTTAATTGTAAGCAATTTTATATTCAAATCAAGTTAATTCAAACACATTTACTATAAAAAAAAAAAGTTAATTCAAACACGTACTTAAACTAATATTAACAACCTTAAAAGTAATATTATTTAATCATTAAGATAATCATAATAGCTAATCAAAATTAACCATGGCAGAAAATTATTAAGAGATTTGTGTATTATTTTGTTACATATCTTCTAAGATAATCTAACATATTCATATACTCAGCATTTATCTTGACATGAGAGCAAGCAAAAACCTCTAATCATATAGGTGATAAAATGGGTCCAATTCATCAATCCGTTTAAGTCTATCTTGCATAAACACGGATCAAAACGGGTTGAACTGATGTGAGAAAAATTGATCCATTAATAGAGATGAATACGAGTTGGCCCGCCTCAATCGGTCTGCTGACCGTTGAATATAGAATGAAAAAATAAATTCACTTCACTTTATGGTGAGTTGACGGGTCAATCCGTCAATTAAAAAAAGTTAATTAAAATTTAAAAATAAATTATACTTTATGAATTTTATAATATTTTTTAATTTTATTTCACACTCTTCTTAATTTTTTTAATCTCAATCTTAAATGTACACTAATATTCAGTTAAATATTTTTTAGGAACTCATTTATCTCCATATATAAATAACATTTATAATAAATAAATTTTTTATTCTTTATTTTTTCTAGGGAGTGTTGAGATAAAAAAAATTGGATATCACAAAAGCTTAATGACAAATAAAATATTACTTAATTATAAAAATTAAAAAAATATGACCAAACAGTTTGAAACCATTTTGACCCACTTTTAGGCGAGACAAATTGAAATGAATTGGTGGGTTGAAAATCTTAATCCAACCCGCCATATTTTGGAGGATTCACGGATTAACCCGCCGGATTCAACCTATATTACCACCTCTACCCATCAATTTTCTTTCAATAAAATATTGATCATTCTTTTACGACTCTTTGATTTTCATTTGATACTCTTTATTTCTTAAGAACACAAGTTTTCTATATTTTTTTATCAAATTCAATACATAAGAGGGTTGGCGGGATAAGATGAGCTGAAATTTTCAACTCATCATAAAAAATGGGACATGAGAGATTGACTCACTTTAAGACTGATTGAAAGCGAGAGGGGGGATTGTTTGTCTTGCCACCTCTACTACCATAACGAGAAATACAAGTGAGTCATCTTATAAATAAAATAAAGAAACAAAAAGTGGCAAAGTGTGAGATGTTTGTTGTGGCTTGATTGCTTTATACAGAAAAGTATTGATCTAACTAAATCTAATCAAGTACTTTTCGTCTACACATAAGAGAAAAGTATTGTCGTAACTCTATGCTTCACAACCAAGTAAAAAATGTAATAATTTCCCCAACCACACACACACAGTACAACCGAGTTAAACAGATTTTACATTTAATTTATTCCTGAATTTAAGCACATAATTTAACAGATATGATACAATTAATTTCATATGTACATAAATATTTACATCAAAGAATTGCAAGCTCTCTCCATTTAACATGCATTCATGCATAAATTTTTCCTTTTCTCTCCAATGTTTTGATTCTCTAAGGTTGAGAGCAGAACATCAGGGGTACATCACTACAAGACAATGCTAAAGAATCACAACTGCTTTATTATTGACCACGTTTGCTCCTCAAAGGATTTGAATTAGGCTAGACCCAAAGTTTAGCAATCCTACTACGCCATCACATTGCAGTACAGCATTTTTTTTGGCCCCAAGTTTACAGTGAACAATTGTTTATTGGCTAAAGAAGACAAATGAGGATTTCAACAGAGCAATAGTAACAGAGGCTGCTCTATACTGCAGAGACATAATTAGAGTATTTGTGCATCAGGAATTTCGAAGAGAGGAGATCCAATTTTCTACATATTTCTTGCTCTCTGCAGACAACAAAAGAAGCATAAACATTAACTTTCTAACCACCCAGGAAAAGAAGAAAAAAATTTGGAATGACAAATAAACTGCACTATGCATATTTTTTTTGTAAATTATACAGAAAATCCAAGTGAACATTAACATCACAGATCAATCATAATTCAGAAATACCAACAATAATCACACGGCAATTGCTCTGTTGTAACACCCAGGTAATGGAAATCCCAAAAAAATTGCAAGATGTTAGCCAAACATAATTTGGAAACAGGATGTTGGAAAAGTACAATTGTCTCGAAGACCACATAACTATATCAGTATGTTGTAACACCCAGGTAATCTTTGCATCAGCTTATCTACGAAGTTGGCTAAGGTATAGATCATTTTAGTAACAAAAAAAAAAACAGTTGAAGTTTGACTCGGATGGAAGACAACTGGTTTTAAAAGTTCCTCCACCTCCACCGAATTCCAATAAGCTAACACAAAAACAAAATAAACTAAACGAAGCTGAAATTTTCCCCAGTGGATTTCCATTTATATCTGTCAAATGTTAACATGCACTTAAAGATAATTAGTGCAGCAGCTGCAGTCTTCTATTGGATTAAAAGCAGATCAACATTTGTGCATGATTTGTTGTTTCCAGCTACTGGTACGGTGAAGCTGGCAAGGTATAGGCAGAATACTATGTCCAGACCCTTTCCAATAGTAAATTTTCTTCTGATGTCATAATTCATAGGCAAGAAAACTTAATCAGATTAATGAATTAAAAAGGTTCTGAATCAGCAACTACTTCCAATGGACCTCAATACAGATCATCACATTATTTACAGAATTACAGATTATTATGTGAATATCTGTCTCGATAACTAAAGGCCACCGAATTGCTTGGCATACCTTCATATTTTTAAGTCTAAATGATATGTTATAAAGAGGAAAAAGGGGAAAGTAAGACTAGAAAAAATAGAGAATCCGATCTCAAATTTATTTCCATTTCTAACAAAACAAAATAACTTTCTTCCCAAAAGAAAAAGGGAATTTATATAATATTAACTGCAAAATGATATGCTTAGGAATGCATCTTGCTTGAGTCTAAGAAAAACGATCACATCTTGCTAATTTTCTTTAAGCTAATATATCTATTCTGGGCTTCAGCAGCTGATGGAAGATATAATATCTTTCAAAAGTAAAAAGTTCATCCATTCATGCTATGAAAAAATAAAACCAAGTTCTCCCAAATTAGTATTACATGCACAAACTCCATCAACAATTTAAAGGCAGCCAACATTTGAATAGCTTAAACATTCTTAACCTAGTATTAACTCTGAACCGATGCATAAATAATTCAAATTTTAATGACCCCCTTAAATAGAACATATTGTGTAAAAATCCAGTTAACAACAACACAAAGCAAACTCTCATAGATGTTAACGAAAATGCTCTTACCATCTGAATAACTATCTGGAAAGTACCCAACGTTGCCCAGTAAGTTGCTTTTGGGATCCTCCTCCACCATGGCACTGAAATTGCGTCCATAACAGGGAACAAGCACAGCAAAACTGTTATCTGTTTCATGACTTTCACCATCATCACTTGAGAACCCAGTTCCATGAGGCTCCAACCAGCCAATAGACCAATCAGAATCATCAGATTCAGAATCAGAAACAATTCCACCATCAGATGGAACTATAACAACATCATATTCCCTATCTATTTTCGGCTCTTCCCTACTATGCCATTTCCGCTTTACCCTTCCAGAAGAGGAAGGCACAATTCCCTGCTTAACAAAAGGAAATCTCAAAACATCCAATTCCAACAGAACAGAATCAGCTGAAGAATTTATGGACGACCCATTTGAGATTCTTGGCTCTTGATGTTTTCCTCTCCACAACCACCACGAGAGATGGGTAAAAGCCACATCCATTCACTCACGTGGTGTTGGATTCCCAGAGCAAAAATATTTGCATAGATTCTTCTTGAACCAGCACTAATCTCTCGTTAGGTGAACCTATAAAAAACAAATCGCTTAGCAACTACAAATCAACAATAAAAAAAGCGCAAACCATCTAAATCAAAGAAAAAGTGATGCTTACAACTAAAAATTAGAAAATGCCACTTTTTGATTAAAAGCTTTTTACAACCCATAGCCAACACAAAAACTCTAAAAATAAACATCTGTCCTAAAATTTGTATATACATTGAACATAGACACCCATTTTCACATAAACCAGAATCAAGAGGAATATAACACAACTTGTACCAAATCAACGCAATGATTGATTCAAAGCAGAAAACCAATTCCGAAATCGCAAGCCTTAAAATAGCTAATACTTATGCATATAATAATAATATCTGGTCGTGGGAACCATCAAGATATCCTATCCATACAGTTTGATTAACCAATCTTACAAAAAAATAAAAAAATAAAAAAAAATTCGATGTTTCGTCAATAAAAACAACGACTAGAAGTAAAAGAAGCAGAGAAGATGAAACGACAAAGCTGCCTTGTTTCAAAATCCGAATTTTGGATGAAGATTCAAAGCTGCCATTTTTAAAAAAAAAAAATAAGAGGAAAATAAAAATTGGCAATTGGTACCTTTTAAAACCCAAAAAGTTAGTATTTTTCAAGGTTTATATAACAAGAATCCAATGGAAACCCTAGTTTTGGTCTGGGAGGAGGAGATAACATGGCTTTCGGGGAAAGACAGAGAGAGCGCGAGTATCAAATGTTCAATTTGTATATTGGGCTTTCAGATACTGTTCAATCACGCGTGGAGCGCGTGGAGCCCTTGGATTGATCTATGTTGTTCCAATAACGTCACGGTATAAACAAAGCAAGCAGCGAATCACAACGGGGACGACAGAGAATAACGTGAATCTGGCATCCGCAAATCATGCTCTTATGATTTTTCAATTAACAACGGGATGTTATTGTTATACACAGTAACCAATTTCACTTCTCATTAACCGATTGAAATATTTAAAAAAAAAAAAAAAAAAAAAAAAAAAAAAAAACTCATAATAAAAAAACCATTAAGTACGTAAATTTAAAAAAAAAAAAAATGAGTATTATTGGTTATGGGATATTACAATGTTTTCTTAATTTATAATGAAAGGGTGGGTATGTATTTTTTTTCAAATAAAAGTAATTTTATAATTCAATTATTATTTTTTGCTCTCACATTCACTTCTTTTCTTATCATATGATTTTTAAAAAATACTAACTAAATACATTTTGAAATTTATTTAAAAATAATATAATATTTCTAAAAATACAATCATATATCATGAAATAGTGCCTTTAATGAAAGTTTATACCTTAAAAACTTAAAAATTGTCGTCAGTCAATATGTTAAAGTTTTATTATATTCAGGTAGATAACAATAAGATAAATGTTTTTGTTATGTAACATAACATAAAAATAAACTTCCTACTCTCACAAAAGGAAGAGAAATGAGAGAGAATAGGAAAAAGAGAACAAATTTAAAGTGGATCCCATATAAAATTTATGTATGTAGGAAGAATATTTTATGTTATGTAACATAATAAAAATAAAGCCCTAACAATAAATAGATATGACTCGTATTAAACAGGATTGTGTAAAAAATTCTTACACGAAAACGAGTATAAGAAACTCTCAAGCTCCAAAAAGTACTATTAGGTGATTTCAGCAAGGTGGCGTGACACGCCATTTTTACATGGATGTGTTCGCTTAAATGAGATCTAAAGCTTGTGGTTTTGAACCTCCGTTTTGAAATTATTTTAATAAGAAAAAAGGTTTTAATTTTATTAGGTTTTATTTTATTTTATTTTTTTGTATTTCTTATGGATATGAATTGACTCGACGAATTGAAAAGTTTTATATAAAACACGGGTGTTTCAAAGAAAAGTAATTCCTTTCAAGGATATCTCTATGGAGTTTATAAAAAAAAAAAAAAAATTCTTGGTGAAAGTTTTATAATTTTATGATCAGTATTATCAAGTACAAAAAGATTATATGAAAGTGATCATAAATGTGTAATAGTCATTCATTATTTGAGAAAAAAATAACGTCAAAATTTAATAAGTAATTGAGAAAATATGATAATTTTTCACGAGTAGTTTGGTGAATATATATTTGTATCATTTAATATTTTTTAAATTTTGTTAGGAATTTAATTTTTATCTAAAATCAATGAAACTTTATTTTCATAAAAAATTAAAAAAATATTATATTATTATTTAATTATGTGTTATCACATTATTACAAAATTAATTACAATAATAATTATGTGAAAAGTTAACTCTTATCTGAATGCAACAACTCATGGTTTGATTACTATAAAAAAAAATGATAGTGAATCAAAATTACAAATAATGCCAACATTTCTGTTAACTTGTACCTTAAGTGACACCAAATGTTTTTGGAAATTGTTTCGTCTCAAAATCTAGTCCACATAAACTGCCTTGCATATGTTTCTTAAAATTGTATCTTGTTTCAGAGTTTTTTTTTTTTTTTTTAAGGGAAGGCATAAAGCCCAAAACACAAGAAAATTATATGTTATTCATGGGGTCTAAGAGACATCCATCAAGTCAACAGTAAATAAACTAAAAAAACTTGAGCTACATGGTGGTGAGCATGCATTTTTTTCCTCCATGATTAAGATGTAATTTGCAAACCAATCTACGCGTATGTATATTTCCTTGTGGACAGTCCTCCAATCTTTTTTTAACTATGCTCAAATTTTGGCCACTAGATGAAATTTTTTACATTAAAAAGATGAAATAAGTTATACTTACAATTTTTTTTTTACAACTATATCTTAACACCGTTGATTTTCGTCAATTAACGATTATGATTTTTGCAAATTAAATTTATTAATTAATTACTAATTCACAATAAATGATAACCGTTGATTAGCAGAAATCAACGGTGTTAAGATATGATTGTAAAAGGTTGTAAAAAAAAAGTTGTAAGTATAACCTTCCTTTAAAAAGATTAACAAATAGCCTTGTAAAACTCTCTCTTTTTATACATTATGGGGAAAAAAAAGAAAAAAACTTATTACTTGTCATTTCATTCTCTTCCCTCATATTCTTTTGATCCTTTCCTTTCCCAACTCCCATTATACTCCAACTCCAAAGCAATAAGACCATTAACTTTATGCGTTAATGTAGGCAATCAATTCCCCACCCGATCCAGATTCGGCCTAATCATATTAACAAAGTAACAAATACATACGGCATACCCATAATTGCTTGCGGGTGATTTCAAAATTGCGTGTCGACATCAAGATGACATCAACGGAATATTTGGTATTAATGGTTTCTCGGTCCCACCTCAGATACGATTCTTAATTATTGTTTTATCAGTAAAAACTATTTTTGGTTCTCAGCAAATTTTACGATGCCCGCTTTAATTCCTAACAAATAAAAAGACCTATCGTGGTTGCTAAGAATTTCAAAATGGACTCGTTTAGTTGAAATCGTGGTCCCTCACAAATTCAAAAAAGATCTATATTAGTCCTTAAAAGGACTAAAATAGGTCCATTTTGAATTTTTTAGGGACCACACTGGGTTTTTTAATTTGCTAGGGACTAAAGCGGATATCGTGAAATTTGCTGAGGACAAAAAATGGTATTTACTCTAATTTTAAAGACATTTATCATATTTTTACTTATATTCTATCATTTAACATGACCACAAAAAATTTTCTACATACACAACATTTTGTAGGACTCGCATATTTTGAAAAAAGAAAAACTATGGCACGCAAAACGAATCTCTATAACATAACACAATCATCTTTCCTACAACATAACTCTTATAAAACCCTATATATATATATATATATATATATATATATATACGAAAAACATAGTCTTCTGCCGTTGGAAAGCAAACAATTTTCCTGCGTGCCAGCTATTTTTCTTTTATTTTTATTTTATAAAATATGGGACTCACACTTGATTTGTTTCTACTTTTTTTTCTCTCATGTTGTCATGCAACATGAGAAAACATGAACCCATATTTATATATATGTGTGTGTGGCTTATCCTTTCTCAAGTTGTTTGAGATAATTTTATCTCCGGCTATTAAATCATAACCGTACAAATATGAATCAATGGTGACAAAGAAAGAGAGAGAAAAAGAAAATCATAGCCATTCAAAGGTGAATTAATTAATATAAGAAAATAAGTAAACAAAACGACGTAGTTTTTGGGTGGCCGGAGATAAACTTATCTCAAGTTGTCGGAGAAATATTTTTTTCATGTATATATATATATATATATATGTGTGTTTGTGTGTGGTTTGATTTTTCTACAGCTACTTTACATGCAAGAGTGACAAATTTTTCATATATATAGGTTAAAACATTTAATGTGGGAAATCATAACCATATAAAACGTGAAAGCATTAAATGTGTAACCATACAACTGTCATTGTTGCACGTAAAGCAACTTTAGATATGATTTTACCATATATACTATAAGGGGTAGGATATACTTATTACCAAAAAAGTTTGCCACCTTTACAATCAACTTAATTACCGTTGATTTCTGTCAATCTAACGATTATAATTTAATGTATTTAATAGAAATTAATAATTAATTAATAAATGTAACTCAATAATTTTCAATAATCATATATGGTAAAACCAAACGAAGAAAATAATTTTCAAGCCATTGGTCAAACCCAAGAACAGGAATGAGAAGATGTTAATGTGTGTAGGGTTAAGAAATATATGTGGAGAGCTATGTAGTAGAACATCAAGTTACATCAAATTATTGATCGAGAAAATTATATTAAATTTTACTTTTTCTTATTAATATCATTGCATTTCCTTGTTATTTTTTTTACTTTTGTAATTTTGAATGTTTGTTAAAATTCATATGATTTTTTAAAAGGAAAAGGTGTTTGTCATTCTAAATAACATAAAATTATGTCATTTTAAGAGAGAGACAGACACAGAATTTCTTTTTATTTAAAATTTAAATTAAAAAACCACCCACTTTCTCTCTCCCATGATTTCCATTTTTCTGTATCTATCTCTCTCCTAAAATGACATAACTTATGTCATTTAAAATGACAAACACCAAACCCTTTTTAAAATCTTATAAATCCATATTATCCTTTTAAATCATATAAAATTCTTTAAAATCCAATCTTATAAAATTTTGATTGTAAAAAAAAGTCTTTTAAAAAAAGTCTTTAAAGTCACTACAATTCAAGATAGTCTTTTAAAATCTATAAAAAAATTTATCTCAAAATAATCTTTTAAAATTCTAATCCAATACATCCCCTTAAAAAAACCAAATCTCATATATTATTGTGAAATGACATTCCTTTTCAAAAGCAATTGTGTTGTTAGTGCTATTAAAAGAAAAACAACTAAGTTTGATAATATTACTTAGGAAAAAATATTTCTGCAGTTAATGCAGATAGATAAATTATCTGCATTTATTTCCAAAATGACGTCATTTTGGTATTGAAATTTTAAAAAATTATAAATATAAAGACTATTATAACGCTGAAATAAATTAAAATTACAAAAACACCATGATTTCCGCCCTAAAACAACGTCGTATTGACTTACTGCAGATAACTTATCTGCAGTAACTGCAGAAAAAATAAACCCTTAATTTAAATTTATTGGTTTGTTGAGTTTATTGCTATATTTGAAGCCATGTATTTTACTTGTTAAATTATTATAGTAAGTGTGTTGTGTAATTAAATAAGGAACATAAGAATTTCAAAAAAGTCTCTCCCTAATTTCCATCGACCTCTGATTCTCTCGTTCTTTCCTGATTTAATTTTTTTCTTTCCCCTTTTGCAATCTTCT